TCAGGGTGCCCGTGCTGACCCCTGTCCACCACCGGAAGCACCAACACCGGGCTCGTGAGCATCAGAACTGGACCACGAAGCAATGAAAGAAGGTGGCCTGGTCTGATGAATCACGTTTTCTTTTACATCATGTGGATGACTGGGTGCGTGTGCATCGCTTATCTGGGGAACACATGGCACCAGGATGCACTATGGGAAGAAGGCAAGCCGGTGGAGGCAGTGCGACTCTTTGGGCAATGTTCTGCTGGGAAAACTTGGGTCCTGCCGTCCATGTGGATGTTACTTTGATACGTACCACCTAACTAACCATTGTTGCAGACCATGTATACCCTTTCATGGAAACGGTATTCCCTGGTGGCTGTGACCTCTTTCAGCAGGATAATGCGCCCTGCCACAAAGCAAAAATGGTTCAGGAATTGTTTGAGGAGCACATTGAATTTGAGGTGTTGACTTGGCCTCCAAATTCCCCAGATCTCAATCTAATCGAGCATCTGTGGGATGTGCTGAACAAACAAGTTTGATCCATGGAGGCCCCACCTCGCAACTTACAGGACTTAAAGGATCTGCTGCTAACATCCAGATACTACGGCACACCTTCAGGGGTCTAGTGGAGTCCATGCCTCGATGGGTCAGGGCTGTTTTGGCAGCAAAACGGGGACCAACACAATATTAGAAATGTGGTCATTATGTTATCCCTGATTGGTGTATCTTGCACTGTTATTTTTTCTCATCATATTTTCATTACCAGTATGCTTTGATTAAAATTTTTTAATTTTTGTGAACAATCGAAAAACAGACAATCGAAACACCTTTTGTTTACTTATATATTCGTTAGCAATTTTCTTTGACTCCGATTAACAAAGAAGTGGTCGGAAGCAAAATTACTCCAAAATCTGAATTTCTACCCTTCCAAAAGTAGTACAGACTATTTCACAGACAGAACTGCTCTGAGTAGTCTTGATCTGATTTAATGTAACATTTCAAACTTTGGCAAATCCAGAGATAATTTCATCCTCAAAAAGTACCTTGTGAAAAAAATTGCTCATCAAATTCGTCAGCCAATCAGAACAGAGCTTGCCCGATCAAGAAAGCGCAATCCAGTTTTGTGTGCAGTATGCATCAAATGGTCAGTAAGCGATTGTAGGCGGTCCGTGGGCATGCTGTCTGAGGTTGAACCCACTAATGCTCAAGTGTCCATATTCTTCAAATGTCACATGATGAAGCGATACAATTTCGGTGCATTCAATGCTCAAGTGCCTCTTTGTACATTATAGAACTAATTCTTCTAGCATTATTGTTGAGAGACTCTCGGCAAATGGTGAAATTCACTAGAAACAAAGGCCGTTAACTCAGATGCTGCCCACAGAATCTTTTAAAAACAGTTGCTAAGGGACCGGAGCTTTGTTACATTTGATACTTGATAATGAGGCTTTGAGTAAAAGGAAAAAGAAAAGAAATAATGAGGAAGGCAGGGGTTGCATCTATCCGCTTCAAATCTCTGCAGGAAAGTGGCCTGGAAGGGCCAAGTTTGCCAGTCACTGTCATATCATATATATCATATCATATATCATATCATATTATATTACATATTTTTTTCTAATTGTAATATTTGCACTTTGTAAAAAAAAAAAAGTTTTAAAAAGTTTCTTGTAAAAAAAAGAAACCTGTCATTTGATATACTGTACTGTTATTATTGTTAACGTTTTTTTTTGTTGTTGTTTTTTTGCAAGTGTTCATTTATTTGATCAAAAATACAGTAAAAATCTCTAGTGTTGTGGAAAAATAGAACTCTACTTTAATATATTTTTAAATATCATTTATTCCGTTAATGGAAAAGGTGAATTTTCAGCAGCCATTACTCCTGTCTTCAGCGTCACATGAATAGAAAGCATTGATTTGGAATGGCACTTTTTGTAACATTATAAATGTATTTACTGTCACTTTTGTTGTGTGTCCTTGCTGAATAAATGTAAAGAAAAATAAAGATTTAAAGGATTACTGGTGATAAGATTCAGTCAGCATTTAATAGCCATCATCGTTCCAAACTTTTATGTCTTTCTTTGTTGTCCGTGGGAAATATAATGAGATATTTGAATGAATGTTCATGCTGCTCTTTCTGATACAGCGAAAGAATACAATGACCAGCAAAAGTACCTAAGTAGTCCTTAGTTTGCATAATAAAAAGACTTGGAATATAACATACAAAACATATGGACTATTTTTATGTGTTTGTTGTCCTTTCTGGAGGGTGGTGGTCCTTGGTTACTATATGTTTTGTTTTGTTTTGACTTTTTGCCAAAAGTTTCCTTTTATGTTTTACAGAAGAAAGCAAGTCATACATGTTTGAAATGGCTGAATAGTCATTCATAGTTCTAGAACTCTACGCTTAAGTATAGTATAATACATAATGACATTGACAGGAGAGGTGCCTGGCTGTCTGTTTGTTCATAATGTCATAATGTATTATGTCGTCACATGTACAGTAACTAATGGTGGTGTTTCCTCTCAGCACCCGGGCAGCCGCCTTTGAACGTGGAGTGGAATCTGATTGGCTCTAAGCTCACTGTTCATTGGGAGCCTGTCATTTCTCTGGAGATGGAGTCAGATGTTACTGGTTATCAGGTAATTGCTTCCCAGAAATGTAAACCTCAAAGCCAAACTGTAGGGCATTATTTTCATATAATCATATTAGCTTGTTCTATTCCAGTGAGCATTTAGGAAACAACTGCATTAAAGTTGTTAAACAACTGCAGTGTTGCATTAAAGTGTATATATGTATTTTGTTGGACGATTACGCACCTTAGTAGTAACGGAAATTAAAAATCAAACTAATTTATACCACAGATCTTCAAAATATGTGCTGTACAGTATAGCGAAAACACCAGGTGTGCTAATAAACACAGTTCCCTACAGTGTATGATCATTTGATTTTACTTCCTTTATCGACTAAAATAGCTTGTGCTGAATAAATCTAAGTGGTTGTTAGCACCTCTCTCATTTGTTCTCTCCAGGTGTCCTACAGAAGGAACCGGCATAAAGAAATTAACACAATAACAACAAATCTGACCTCAGTGGAGCTCACGCTACCTGCAGACGATGATTACATCATTCAGATACGAGCGCTGAGTGACGGAGGAGAAGGGATACCAACCGAACCCATCAACATACATAAACTTAGTAAGAACGCACTCATTTTTGAATTTGATGAATTTTAGTGTATTGGTTTTCTGAAATAAGTTTTTTTTTTTTAGTCCAGTGTACAATATTGTTCAAAAGTTTGGGGTCAATAATAATAATGTATACTTTAATTTAGCAAGGAATACAATTTTAAAAAATCTATTTCAAATAAATACTGTTCGTTTGAACTTTATTCATCAAAAGTTTCCACAAAATAATTAAGCAGCACAACTGTTTTCAACATTGATAATAATAAGAAATGTTTCTTGAGCAGTAAATCAGTATATTAGAATGATTTCTGAAGGATCATGTGACACTGAAGTAATGATGCTGAAAATTCAACTTTGCATCACAGGAATAAATTACATTTTATAATATATTACAATAGGAAACGGTTATTTTAAATTGTGATAACATTTCACATTATTACTATTTTTACTATATTTTTGACCAAAAAAATGCAGCCTTGTTGAACATAAGAGACTTCTTTTGCTCATAAAAGAAAAAAAACCTACTGACCCCAGACTTTTGAAAGGTAGTGGAAATTCATTATTCATTATAATTACGGATGCACCAAAATTAAAATGATTGCTGATATTATAATTCTAAAAATGCTGAAAGTGAATTTAGGCAACACAACATTAAAATGTACAGTATGATAAATGGCTGTTCATTTTGAGGTTGGCTAAAGATTACATTTACCAAGGGAATTTTTTATTATATATTTTTGAAGATTAATTTTGCGGTCATTTAACGCTCACTTAAGTTCTAATTGTAACAATAGGGGAAATGTTATAATGTGCTCCACCTCTCAAATAACTTGCCTTTTCTGCTGACGTCACTCAGGCTGCGTGGCTATTGAATAATATTAACCAATAGCAAAATATTTGGAATGTAACATATCCTTTTCACCATCCAATCAATTCCTGTTGAATCAAAATAAGTCCTGCCCTAGATTAATCAAATTAAGTCCTCCCCCACATTTCGAATCAAATATCCTCTTTCACTCAGAAAATGCAATGAAACTAAAAACTCACCTCGCCTGACTCACAGTTCTCTCCGAATCAGAGTGGTGATATAACTAAGTGGCTTAATAGTTTACTCAATGTTTATTCCATCCATCTCTTCTTGTGGACCGGTTGTGAACAATGATAAAGGGGAATGACACTGACAGGGTTATGAGCCAATCACACTGCTGTGAAGTCACTGCTCATATTTGCTGATTACCCTTTAGGATCTTTATGAAAATGCAACAAGCTCAAGGGAGGCCAAAAAAATGCTATCATCCCGGTGTCCCTGTTGGACAGTGTTACTTTAGAAAAATGAGCGATTTATGAATTCGATTTTATCAGTTGTTTATATTCGGCTCATTTATTTTATGTCTTCATCCTTACACAATATTACATTTCCGTACGCGAGTTAAACCTGCAGCCGTGTGCGAAGCACATCCACTGCCCTCCTCTTTCAATGCCCATGATGTAAAAGATAAATATTCAATGCCAAAGGGATATAAAACACACAGGCCCCTATAAAATAAACAATTCACAGTTGACCTCATAATGTTCTACTCCTGTTCCCCCGAGTGAAGAGCGCAGGTGCAGTTTGCAGCGGAGACTCTCTCTTACTGCAGCCCACAGAGTTTAATGTGCCTCTCTAAATGAGTTCTCACTGATTTGATGTGTCTTCCTTGTACACCTTTTATTCTCCACTGGGCTAAGCAGTCTGATCTTTATTAACTAGCCCAAGCTCTCGCCATCTATCTCTGCCCGTTGGTCTCCGCTCCCCCATGGATACAACGTCACAGGCTAAAGCAACTGCAAGGGACAACTGTTCTCTGTGGCTTATTGTTCACATTTTTCATCGAAAGGCCTGCAATGTCTCGTTTTCAAGAAAAAGCCCTGACTCTTTTCCATTGTTAATGTTGGAAATTATTAGCTGTGCCAATAGCAAGGTTTTCCAACCTGCTGTAGCGAATTTAACTCATGGGGAAATATGAATAATTAACC